AGTATAATATCATATTTATGAGTAATTTTTGTATGGTTTAAGTTAGATTATGTATAATATCTTATTTACGAGTAATGTTTGTATGGTTTAAGTTAGATCATGTATAATATCATATTTACGAGTAATGTTTGTATGGTTTAAGTTAGATCATGTATAATATCATATTTACGAGTAATGTTTGTATGGTTTTAGTTAGATCATGTGTAATATCATATTTACGAGTAATGTTTGTATGGTTTTAGTTAGATCATGTGTAATATCATATTTACGAGTAATGTTTGTATGGTTTAAGTTAGATCATGTATAATATCATTTCCTTTACATCCATTTTACAGTTTTCTTTGCCTTGTACTAACAGCACTATTACAACTCTTTACACAAATATTACTTATAAGACTGAAAACATATTTCAGTGTATAACTTACTGTAGCTTCAGATAACTCCCAACAACAACAACAAAGACAATATTATATTAAGGAATCACTCATTATACTAATATTTTTTTTGTTTGTTGAGATTAGTGTATTACATTTACAATTCTTAAAAATATCTGAATGAAACACTGATATAAAGTTCAAGTTTAATGGTCGTTTAAACAATAATATCTCATTTGGCTTAATATCAAGGTTACAGATATTTAAACTTAATGTGAACCTCTGCTTCTTTATCACTATTAAGTTCTACCTTAATTAATTTAAGCCAGAAAAGATTCAACTATACTAAAACTAAGTTTTTAATGAAAGGCTGATTATTAACTGATGTTGAAATAAAGTACCAGTGAACATTTTGTAATGTGAAAAGATTTTAATTGACACTGTACCAAATAAAAAAAAAATCAATGTATCTTCTATAATTGACAATACACTATTAAAATGGCTTTACATCACACATTGGTCAGATAGTCCTAAATGATGTAAACATCAATATATATATATTCTGAAAAGTAAGTTTTAAAATAATATTTTGAAGTAGCTAATACACACTGTACATATATATACATTCCTCACTAATACACTTTAGTAAATTAGCTACTAAGTAAAAGTACAAATCTTCCATTTTGATTTTCTTATCTTCTGAGAGTGAATACATTGTGAGAAACCTAATTTGAAAGAGCTTCTAAAAATTATTTCATTTGGAAAGATATATATATATATATGTATAGACACAGACACACATACATACATAAAAATATACAAAAATAGAGATTCTAATGCTTTTATTTCTTTTGAGATGAAGAAAAACTGTCCCTTAATTACAATTTTTATTGTATGTTATCACACACTATTACACTTGGAACAGCTGATGCAATTTGAAAGCTGTAGTATATATAACTGTGCACCAATAATTACTATTATATTAAAATTAAAGAAAATTAAGATTAAATTCTTTTTCACCTTTTCATATGTAGCACTACTGGCTTCATGAGAGCTCAATTTACCTTCATCCGTGTTTAAAACATTTTTAGGCTCATTTTCTTACCAAAATGCAAATTCAAAGTATACTAAGGATTTCAAATAAATTCTAAAACTTAGTTGTTGTTGTTTTTAAAAACATTTCTTCTCTCACTTTCAGTCTTTGTATTTTCATATAAGTTGATGCTGTTTAATTTAGGTAATAAGTTAACTAAAAGTTTAAAATAATTCAAATTCACAGTTTACTACAACAAATGTGCAGGCAAGATAAAAATCAGTATGGGATATGTAAAATGTGATAGTCAAGAAAAGTACACCTTTCTTGAGTATTGAACTTTTAATGTAAAAGTGCTGAAATAAGTTGGTTTTAATTTACAGTTTAAAAATTTTATCATGCTACTGCACTCAAAGATATACATCAAAGTTTCACTTACCAGCTTTGTTCTACAGAAAGTAGTTGACTCCACAATACAAAGCTAAACCTCAATCACTGTGGATCACAGTACATAAATCCATGTTTAAAAATATCAGATAAAATGAAATGCTGGATAAATTTTACACAAGCAAAGGCTTAGCTCTGAAATGTGACATTACATACAAGATATTCTCGCTCACGACCAAGAATTAAATGATTTATGGTTATATCACCACCACAATGTAATCCAGTAAGTTCAAAGATACAAGTTACAAAGAAATCTTGAAAAATATGCTTAAAAACTAAAACCACTGAAATCCAATTACAGATCAGAAGTAGAAACAATAAGATTGTAAGTTAGTTTAAAAAATTTTCCTCTTCAAGAAATTAGCACTTGTTCACTAAAGACCAAAATGGATAAAGTATAAATAATCTAATATGGTAAAACCTGGCAAACTTGTCTACTAATTGTTTGTATGTTTTCTCACCTTGTAAGTTTATTAACTTTAGCACATCAGTTGTTTGGACAAGTCCAGATGTTTTAATTTTTAAAAACACATCTCACAAGCATTTCTTTCATGGTTGCTTTACCTCATTTGACTTTATAATGGCATTTGGCAGTTTCCAACTAAGCATCTAATATACACACATTATTCTCCAATAAAACTTAACTTAAATGACACAGTAGCTTTAAACTGATTTCTGAAACAAAAGAAACAGAAATACAACATTATTATTATTATCTAAGCTTTTCTTGATTATGTTGTTTTTCACAAATGCTTGTGGCTAATACTGTAAAATACTCCTAATTCATACTCGGGACTTTGAAAAATAGGGACAGTGTCAATTTAAGTAAAAGAAAACAAATCTCACAATAAATTACCCCCACATACAGACACAGTCCTGTAAGTCACCAACTATGTACACAAGTTTTTATATTGTTTTTTTTAACCCTAGAATCTTATAATGCACTCTCATACTGCTGAAATTAAAACTGGAGATGTGGAAAGACCTTGCCACAGTCATATTCATCACTATTATCTCCACAGTTATCTATTCCATCACACAAACCTGAATGTGCTATACATCGACCATTTGTACATTGGTGTTCATTCTCTGTACACTGTGAATTACACCCATTGGGTTCATCACTCTGGTCATCACAATCATTATAACTGTCACAAACTTGATTGGTTGGGATACACTGACCATTCATACAGGTGAATTCAGTACTGGAACATGCTGAAAATATAAGAATAAGTACATGCACTATGTGACTAAATATATAAAGAAACCTGAAAACAAAAAAAGCTAATTCTGATAAGCATGCTTTCAATTTAATATGTTGCTAAACATGAAAACAAAAAATTAATTTGGTGGCTACATATTGCCATAGTGGACAAAAAAAATTACTTATTTATTTACTTGTCTATTTATGTACAATTATACCGAATAAGGTGGTATTAAAAAGATAATGTTTCTTACATTTCTTGTCAAAAACCAAATTCTTAAAATGTTATTCACTCAGGGTTCCAATACCAGTTTCAAATCATCATGTTCTAGTGCTAATCTTAATTTCATTCATTGAAAGATGTTAATGTGGTGTGCAATGAAAACTATCAATGATTTAGTTAGAGTTACAAGTACATCTTTCCTCTTGTCTGTAAAAGTTTCTAGCAACAGTAAAAATTACCATTTAAATAAAATTTCTATATGTTATTACAAAGTAATCAGTACACATGCAAGCTAAGATCAATACTGATATGCGTATGTCTTTTTGTTAAAATGTCTATGAAAGAAATAGAACATGATTATCTATACGAATTTAATCTGTTTGATTCTTTTGCCAAAATATATGGTTCTATGACACAAGAATTGTTCTTCAATATTTTCATTGTTACGTAAGGTTACTTTTACCTTTGGCTTTAATAGAAAAAAAAATTATCATTATGAGTCAATAAAGTTAGTGAGGCTCTTCACATTGCATGAGTCATATAAACTCTATAGTTTAACACAACTGAGCAATGACTTGTAACAGACTAGTAATTTTATCAGAAAATACACAAGTAGTTGATTCATAGTCCCTGAAAGAAGACTTAACTTATTCTGAAATATAATCAGATTTAAAGCAAATCTTTCTATCATCACATGAGCTTCATGTTACAAGAAATTGTGAAATCCAAAAAAGCTGAGAACGTAATAAACAAAATTACAAAAGAATAAATTGGGGAGTATCATATGTATTTGGTATTGGTTGAATCACTATATATATAATAAACCATTTAAGATAATTGCTTGAAAAGACATTTTGGATACTCTAATCAAATTAAGGTAATGTCGTTTTACAGTTTGTGCGACTGCCCACCTCAGCCTTTGTTTTGGACTTGTTAATTTTTTTCTTTTCATGTCTAAAAATATTCTTAACACATTCATTATCAATACATGTTCTTCTCAGAAAATATGTATTGGTAGAAATTACAGAATACTTAATTACAGAGCATGATTTATTTTGTTTCACAAATAAATAGATATGTCTTTACAAAATTGGAAATATAACTAAAGTCCATGACTTAAGATTCTTTTTATTTTTCATAAAATCCACTTGATATATAAATCGTGTATATAGATAATTCAGAAGTACATTTTACATTCTTAGGCCAATGATGGCAATATATGTAACATGGTTATTACTTCACTTTTCTTGAAAATAAAGTTAAGAATTTAAATTCATCTTACGTATTCAAACAATTGTGCTCACTAAGTAAGGTATTTGAAATGGTAATAAATGTATCAGTTGGTTATGAAACAATGTAAATGGCAAATGAAAAAAAATAAAAACTGAAAAAAAGCAAGAGGATATTTGCATTATTAAGTGCATGTTACATAACTCAGTGAGTCCTAACATATTTCTTTTTCCTTACCTGAAAAGCAGTTAATTTCATCAGTTCCATCCCAACAATCATAGTTACCATCACATCTTTGCGAGAGTTTTATGCAGGAAGTCCAGTTTCCACAGTGAAATTCTTGTTTAGAACATACTTTGTGAAGAAAATTCATAAAAGCAAAAATTTGTTTGTATTAAGTGTTGTATTAACATGAAAAAAACAACAACAGTGTATTACAACACTTTGAAAGATGGTATCACAAATTACTTAAACTTTCAAAACACATGGTAAATTCTTCATAACAATGTTAACCAATTGCCTCACCATCTAACCTATATAAAAGCCACAGTGTGTCATGTTGTGTCACGCTTGATCACTTGAAATAGAACAAGACGTAAAAGCCAAAATGCATTTATCCAGATAGAATAGTTCAATTACTGGCTGTCCATTACAATTGTAGTGACATGGGTGTAAGGGGGCTGTGAAACCTTATAAGTGTAGTGGGTGTTGGGAACAATTAGCCCAGAGCCAAGTGCATGGAAGTAAAAATATCAATTTAATTTTAAACTTAAATAATTTCTGAATTAAGCTATTTTATATTAGTTCATCAACGTTTTAAATAAAAACCAAACCTCTTTAATAAACAGAAACTCTTAAATAAGAAATTAACAAATATTTTTCCAGTTTTGTTGTCTATACATTTCATTTTATACTTTCAGTATATAGGCTAACAACAATAATATGGTATTTGAAATGGTAATAAATGTATCAGTTGGTTATGAAACAATGTAAATGTGAAATGAAAAAATAACCTGAAAATAGCAAGAGGACATTTCATAAAATTTTGAAGGAACAAAAAGGAGTTTATTAGTCCATCAAGGATGTCCCTTCCAGCTCCAAAATATAACCACCTCTTACTACTTATCTATTCATCTATTCTTTTCTTCAACTAAGTTAAATTTTCTGCCTCCACCACTCTTGAAAGCAGCTCATTCCAAAATCTATCCACCCAGTTTGAAAAGTAATGCTCTCTAAACTGCAGACGACAAAAACGTTTGATGGATCTATATTATTAGTACCATTAATAATCTTAAACACCACAATCAAGTCTCCTCCGACCCTTCTCCGTTCCATAAAAACAAGTTTAGAGATTTTAGTCTCTCCTCATAGGACAATCCCACCCTCCCATGGATCATCCTAGTGGCTCTTCTCAGAACCTTCTCCAATAATTTAATGTCCTTCTTGAGGAAGGGAACTTAAAACTGTGCACAGTACTCTAAATGAGGCCTTACAGGTGATATATACAGTGAAACAATAATATCCCTTGTCTTGTATTCAATATTTCTATAAATGCTACTCCAAATCCTATTAGTCCTATTGCTAGTTACAATACACTGCTTAGATGACTTAAGTGATTTTTTGATCACAACACCAAGATATTTTTCTTCTACCACAATATTTAATGTATTCCCATTTAAATTGCAACAATAATTTGAATTGTGAAAACCTACATGCATCACCTTACATTTTGGATAGCTAAACATCATCTGCCACGTACTGGCCCAATGCATCAAATATCTAAATAACCTTGTAAAGTCTGTAGCATCTTTGATACAGTTAGCTACTCCAAAAATCTTAATGTCATCTGCAAACTTCAAAATGTTGTTAGTCATTCCAGAGGCAGTATCATTAATATAAATCACAAACAGCAGAGGATCCAGCACAGAGCCCTGAGGCACACTGCTTGTAACTGTGATCCAGTCAGATCTAACTCCATTTATTACTACTCTCTGCTTTCTACTCTCCAGCAAATTTTCTATCCAATTTAATAACATTTACCCCACACCTACAGATTCACTTTTTGTGAAGAACCTTATCAAATGCCTTCTGAAAATCAAGGAAAACCAAATCCATAGTATTTCCTTCATCAACTCTTGCAGTAACATCCCCAAAGAATGTCAAAAGATTTGTTAAACAAGACTTTCCCTTAGTGAAACCATGCTGGCTCTTTGCTGCTATATCAAACTGCTTTAAGTGATTCTGCAATGCATCTTTAATCACACTCTCCAAAACCTTTCCAATTACTGATGTAAGACTAACCGGCTTATAACTGCCTGGACACTGTTTATCACCTTCTTTAAATATTGGACTAACATTAGCCAACTTTCAATCTTCTAATACTCTTCCACTACTCATTGACCTGCAAAAAGTATTAGCTAACAGTTCACAAATAAAATCTTTAGGTTCCTTTAAAACTCTAGGATATAAGTTGTCTGATCCAGGTGATTTATCAATTGTGATGTTTCCCAACCTTTCTCTTACAATTTCAGAACTTAAAGTGATATCTTTTACATCAATATTTTTCCTATACATTAAGTGCTCTGGTTAAGGCATAATACTTATATCTTCCTTCGTAAAAACTGAAGAGAACATATAATTCAATAAGTTTACCATTTCATAATCTTCCGAGATCAGCTTTCCACTATCATTTTTAAGAGGCCCAATCCTCCATCCTGACATTTTGCTTACCCATCATATACCTAAAGAATTCCTTATTGTTTGATTTAACTCTCTCAGGCCAACCCTCTTTCACATACAGTTTTTCCTTTTGAACTTCCTTTTTAACCTATTCTCTTGATTTCCTATAGTCCTCCAAGTCCTTATTATTTCCAGTAAGTTTAAATTTCTTGAATTTATTACATTTATCCCTAATATGATCTCTTAAACCTTTACTAAACCATACTGTGTATGTTCTGTATGCATATCAATTTTTCCTTAAATGCTTCCCACATCTGTTCAAGATCTCCCAACTCTTTAGTCAAATCTACAGAAGCTACATCATGTCTCAATCCACAAAAATTGGCGTTTCTGAAACTTGGAATCAGGGTACTATTCTTCTTCAATTCTACATGTAGTAAAATCCCACACCTAATAGAGAAATGGTCACTTGTACTTAAATGCTCACCAACCACAAATTTGTCTATCTAATATAGCTTCCTCTCTTGTAGGTTCCATCACTAGTTGGTGTATAAAAGTATCCTGAACAATTTCCAAAAAACCTATCCCCCTCTCTGTCAGACTCAAAATTTTCACAATCTATACCCCTGAAATTAAAATCTCCCATAATAACAACATCTTTTTCAGCTACAATTCTGATATCATTATACAATTTCTCATTAAATTCCACATTCTGACCTAGTGGTCTATAACAAATCCCAATAGCAAGACTTTTACCTTTATATCCATTAACACTAACCCAAACTGACTACTCCAGTGCTATTTTCTTTAATATGCTCTAACTCAACATGATACAATTCACTACTTACATATAAAGCTACTCCTTCCTCTTTTTTCAACACTATATTTCTAGTAAATAATATGTAGCCTGGTATTTCAAAAAAATTTCTCTCATCAAAATTGTTCAAATCCAACCAAGTCTCAGTGATACCCATAATATCAAAATCCTCAGTTTCCACAACTGCTTTAAACTCATCAATTTTACTTCTAATACACCTAGCATTACAATAGTAACAATCATAGATTTTAAATTATGTTCATGTTTTATGCCTGTTGTACATGTTTTCCTGTCAATTATATTTCCTATTTTACTAATCATAGCTCTCACCTGTGTCTAGCCCTAGTTTAAGTCTGCCACTACAGCTGAGTTAATAGCCCTTGTTAACATGCTAGCCCCTGCCTTAATTAAGTGTAAGCCATCCATTCCAAAAAGATTAAATTTCCCATTAAAATTATCCTACAAATCCAACCAGCCTATTTGCTCATCCCTACATACTGATCTAAGCCTGGCATTGAATCCTAGTGGCCTACTTAGTATCTCATCCTCACAATTTATTCTTGGCAATATCCCTGACCAAATCAAGCTATGACCTCTTTCCTTAAATGCCCATATCAATGTTTTATACTTATCAATAAGCTCCTCAGATCCATCTTTCCTTACATCATTAGCCCCGTGTACCACAAAAACTGCATTGCTACTAGCACCCTTAACTATCTCTGTGGTTCTATTGGTTATATCCCTACTCCTGTATAGCATAAACATATTATTTTGCTTTTATTTACTCCACATACTACTATATCTACATGCCTAACTAGAGAGTCACCTACAACTATAACTTCCCTATCCTTTACACTATCATCCCTTGTGATCCCATCTGTTTCCCTTACCTGCTCCCCTCATCACTAGCAAGTGCTTGGAACTGGTTGCTTAACCTAAACTAAAGTCCGTCCTTGCCCTTAAATGCATTATTTTCCAAGCTTTTGGCCCTATTTCCTTTCAGCTTCCTTGAAATCCTGTTTGTCAACTGTACCTTTTGCATACGAAGAAGTCAACATGAATGTCAAACTGACTGATAGGAATAGGAACAAAATCTACTGTGTCAGCATACAGATAGATTAGGAAATACAGACCTCAGACAACACAAGGTCAAAATAAAGATGAGGGATCCTGTTAAGGAAACACCTTACTGGAGACCATATGTTAAGAAAGACAGACAAAGAAACTGCAAATGTTGGAGCAGACTGTATGAACAAACTTTGTGTATGAACTAAGAACAGTTTTTGTAAATAGTAAAAAAAAATTGAATGAAGAAGGATTTATGACATCATATAAAACTGTTTCGTTTAGATATTATTGATTAATTTATTTTTTATGAGTGAATATTTTATTATTGTTTGATTCTTTTTATTATAAAAGTTAAAAGCAGACGATTCTAGAAAGTTATGTTAATGATTCATTGATGTTGAGAATATCAAACATCATGTGCAATATATTGACATTGAGAATATAGAAGATGGACAGACGATTAAGTGATAAATATATAAATAGCATGAGACGAGCGGGAAGCAGCAGACAGATAATAGCAAAAGAGAATGAAGTTAACTACCGTAGAAGTGATAGTCCTAACGACTGACATAGGCCTAACATTTAATGTGTTAAGAGTGAAACTAACAGTAGAAAAGGAGATAAGAAAAAATTTTATTCCATCAAAGTGTGGTTCTAAAGTAATTGAATCAGCCTGAGTGCATTTTGACAAAAGGAACAGAGGATCTTAAGAAGAACAACAAACAATTACAGTAACTCATGCCACAACTGTAAGTGAATCACATAGAGAATTCTAGTATGATAGAAATAGAGAAGATAGTTCAGTTTGTCAACTGAAATTCTAAAGTAATTGAATAGGCCTAAGTGGATAATTGACAAGAAGGAGAGAACTACATATATAGTATTTATGATATGCCTATAATATCTATAGTGTTGAAGAATTTGTTGTACATATGTTAACTTGTTCTGAATATATATATTATTTTGAAAACAAGTGAAGTGTGTGCTGTTTATTAATCATTGAATTTATCGCTAACAAGTTAGAGATATTTACTGTAGAAGAATCCTAAGCCCAACAACAAAATAGTATATATTTATACTATTAAGAAACATAACTAAACCCCTTTTTATTTTGACAATTGACGAAAAAGAACGTATTATATATAATAATTGTCAAATTTCTGACAGAGTGTAAAAGTTTAAGTTCTTCACTAAGCCTCTCCACCACTTCAGGCAGTTTACATTTTTCCCTTTCCACCTCTGCAACTCTACCCAAAATCCCTCCAAATTCTCCTCTAACCTGCACACCCTGCAAATAAATTGTACATCCTGGCTACTAGCCTCCCTAAAAGTACACTTTAACCTAGAGTTTATAAATAAAACACTCTCCTGGCATCTGTCACAGTTTATCAACTGAGAACCCTCAGTAGCTAGACTATTCTTAACCATAGCTGATAATTATACTAACTATAATTTTAAGTGTAAAGTGAAATTAAATTAAGATTATATTTAACATACTATTAGTACTAACGTGTAACAAGTTTGATCTAACTTCATTAGCTTACTATATTAAATATTCAACACTAATCTGTATATATATATATATATATATCAATAATATAATTGGTTATAAATATTATAAGCACACTTCTGTCTTTACATGATTAAGTACATGTAACATAACTCAGTGAGTCATAATATACATATGCATGAAAGCAACATGACATAAAAGCCATTATTGGAACGTAGTGTTACTAAAACACATTGGCTTTTCTATATATTAGAAGTTGTTAATGTAACTGATCTTTACCAATAATTATTCTATGAATACATCATAAATTAATTTCATGAATGATCTTAATTTTGATTGGCTCACAAAGGAATATACCGACATCTGACTTCCTTGGCTGTACTTTTCTGTCTCTTTGTTAGTCAAGCTTGATTTCACAAAATATATTTATTTCAGTTAGCTATGAAATGTGAGGTTAGGATATATTGTGGGGGGTAGTGCTTGCCCCATCATTTTTGATGGGCTATACGCCAGTAAAATATATTTCACACAATTGATAAATAACACAGTGAAATATAGTTTCGAGAAATAAAATAGACAAGTAGAACAAATATTCTGATGATGTTTCTATCTTAACAATGACACAAGTTAAATCAGTCTCCAATAAGTAGAGCATAACATTATTTATAAAACAATATTTATCAATAAGTGGTACTTGGTATGTCTTGCACTATGCTTCAGTTAAACAGTTTGTTTATCATAACAATTCTCATAGGCATAACTCCGTTAGTTACCACAATCCAGCTCATCTGTGTCATCATAACAGTTGAAATGTCCATCACATCTTCTTTCTTCAGGAATGCATAATCCATTACCACATTTCCATTCATTAAATAAACATTCTAAAGGATATACAAAAACACAAATTTTCAGTTGTCACGATTAGTACCACCAATGTATTAAAAATTTTCCTTACGTTTAGAAAATTGCTAATAAAAAATAAGGGAAAACAAGTTCTAAATATGTTTTACAAGTATGTTTACAGCTTAATTGTTTTCTTCAATTTAACATTTTATACATATCTGCAAAGAATCTTCTTAGAAGTTTAGGAAATGACTTGAATAGTATAAAATTCGGATTATCTAGAACAGATGCATGATGATTGATTTTTGAGTTAGCAAGTTTATTAGTTGCTACTGTCAGCTATAGTTAGTTAGTTCAATTCTCTAAGTATTGAGTTTGTGTTTCCACAGAGAAATAGAATCATGAGAAGCACTGTATGTATGAGAAAATTATCAAGTGAAATTGTTGCATTAGCATCTACTGTGAACTTACACCTATCAGTAAGTTTCAGTTACATTAACTACTGAACTTGATGTTGAAGAAGAAATAAAACATTTTTGTTATAATTAAATGAACTAGATATTCCATTATCTTGTTTACCAAACAATACAAAAGAGGCTACCCAACAATAAAAGCAATGATACTTCTACAATGTTCACACTGTGCTTCTGTTGCTATAATGATCTTTTGCATTGAATGCATTTCAAAAATAATTTGAAAGGCTTTGATAAAGATATTCTATTGTTTTAACATAAGATTTCGAAACAGTGAATTAATATCAAAGTGGTATAAGTACTTCAATAATAACCTGTTTGATCAATGCATTGATAGGTGATATTATCAAGTTTTTTGCACAGTTCAAATGAACCATTACACCATCCCCCACAATCCTTGGAACTACCGGTTTCTCTTACAGCTATACAGTAAGGAACTATTTCTCCTGGCCTTAGAAGGCATATTTCTCCAGTACTACATTTATGACATGGTCGTCCTAGGAATAATAATCGATGGGACAACATTAATATCTTACTTAATATGTTAAAACATTCAAGTAAACCAAAAGATGTACTAACTCTTGTAATTTTTAATTTTATACTTATTAGCATAAACAGCTCTTTTAACTTGCTGCTTTCACATATTTAGTCTCAATAATGTTTGAATGTTTTACAAAATTAATTTTTTCAAAGTTGAGTACAGTCTTTCACACAAGACTTTGCTCTAAATAGCTAAACTGGAAATTTTCTTTACAATTTCGTCTCTAATTTGCTTAAAATTCAAAAACTGTTTGAATGGTTTAAAGTTATATTTTTAACTACCACACGTTTAGATAATTTATTAATTTAACCTATCCAAGTGAAAAACTTCAGTAATGCACAATTCAAATCATTAATATATATATATATAAATCTCCAAAATTATATGTATTTACTGGGCTTTAATTTAAATACATTTAAGAGCTATATGGACATATACTCACTGTTATTGACTGCAGAATTATCACTTGGCTTATTCAATGTTGAAGGCATGGGATTCAATCTGGTAGTTCCTTTAGTTGTAGTAACAGGAGGAACTGATACAGTGTCTGGAGCTGTACTGATATGAATAGCTGTGGAAGTTTGAGTAGTTGAAAACTGAGTGTTTGTGGGAGGTCGTGTAGTTGTGGAAGACTGAGTGCTTGCAGGAGATCGTATAGTTGTGGAAGACTGAGTGCTTGCAGGAGATCGTATAGTTGTGGAAGACTGAGTGCTTGTGGGAGATCGTATAGTTGTGGAAGACTGAGTGCTTGTGGGAGATCGTATAGTTGTGGAAGACTGAGTGCTTGTGGGAGATCGTGTAGTTGTGGAAGACTGAGTGCTTGTGGGAGATCGCGCAGTTGTAGTAATCCAAAACTTTGTATAAGACTGAATAGTTGTAGGAGTTTGAAGTTTTGTTGTAGAAGACTGATTAACTGTAGTAGTTTCAGTAGTTGTTACAGAGTTTGGACTGGTTATGGAATATAATGTGTTGGCATTAATGGTTTTTGGTAACCACTCTGTTGAAACATCAGATGGATGACACACACACTCGTGTTCTTCAACTGAAAACCCTCCTTGCCATTTGCAAGCTTCATTACTAAGCACCATCTCCTTTCCAAAAGCACTTTGGCAGTGCCGTGACCTTTTACGTGTAATATTTGGATCACAGTGATTATTGTGAAGACACGATGACCACTGACTCCATAGTGACCATGTTGCTAAATACAATACAATCAATAAGCTTGTTAATAATTACAGAATAATGCAATGCTATATACACAATACAGAAAAATAATATTAAAAAACAGAATTTTATAAATGATAACAACATGTCAAGAGTATTTATTCTTAACATGTACAAACTCCTATTGAGACAGCAAAATAATACAAGCTTGTAATGCAAATATCATTATATTTTCATACCTCTTAATAATAAAACTACTGTTACATACGAGATTCACTATTTTACTTGTTTTATGATTTAAAACATTTTAAAAGATACAGCATTAAATTAACAAGGACATAATAATGCATTACGTTATTTATTAGTAAAAAAAACTCTAAAAGACTGAACTACAAATCTAAATATATCTGGAAGATAATAAGGCACTACTACAGAATTATGTCCATGAACTTGTATGCCTCCATCTTCTGAACATTTATGTAATTAAGAATAAACAAATACAAATATTTTCAATTCTCAGTAAATATAAAAAATCTAACATTTAAAGTTACTGTACCCAAACAATTACTAAGCTAATACTTTAATGAAGTACAGGCATGCAAGTTATACTGAAGACTGAAGTATTAAAAAAATAAGAACATTATTTTGTACATGTAGTTTGATTTTAATGAATCAACACATGAATCCTACTCTTAGCAAAAGACTATCACTGCATCAGAACCAATCAAGGGTTCCAGCACTTACCAACTTGAGACCTACCCAAGATTGAATAACCAAGCAATTTTTTGTGACCCATGCTCATCTGTTTTTATATTTCAATACCAACTAGTACTAATCTTGTAAATAATTTAAAAGTAAAAAGATGATTTTATTTCACAGTATTTCATTCTGTGATCCACCACTGCAGCAGTAAGTTATGACCCACAGTTTTGGAACTGTTGCTATAACAATATAACTTTAAGTATAAATTATAATACAGTATTGAACAATTTAAAATTATTACATTATATAAATATTAATAAATTGCAAATAAACTAACTCTACTAATGAAAGCACCAAAATGTGATTGTCCATACTACTAACTTTAATTCTACTTTTAGCAGATTCAGTCACAAAGTCTACTTAATAAATTAGTTTTGTGCTATCAAAATTGAAAGTGTAACTGAAGTGTACCCACTCACCACTAGGCCTAAATATCACAGATTCAATGTGTACTTTAAGCAATCTTCCAGGCAAATAGCCATTACTCCGTTTAAGTACTTGTCTAAAGGCCTGTCCTACATCTTCTGTTCCATTTTGAAGTAAAGTATTGAAAAACACACGACAATTTACAGTAACACTTCCTGGCCTAGGGTAAAAGGAACATATTGTATTATATATGCTCACAGTATAAATTAACAACAAACAATTCTATTACACCTTTTGCAATTCTTGATATTCTAAGAAACAACATGATTTTAAAAAATATACTATAAATTGAGAAAATAATTATTTCAACAGTAAAAGTTTTTGGAGGTAAAAGCTTTTTAACGTAAATTTGTTACAAATATTTTATATTAAATTTTTGAACAATATGCTGTATTTATTTTTCATAAAAACATATATTTTTAGAATTGAGGATATTAAAACTAAATAGCAATGTCAAGAGTTTTATATAACTTCCATAAATGTAAATAGATAACTTTTCATGATCAAAAACAAAATATTTTCTTTAAAAATGTACAGGTTTTAAAATATTAATAAAAAAATTATAACTACGTTATGCAAATAAAAAATGTGAAAATCTCAGATTGCATAAAATAATTTATGGGGACAGTAAAGAACGTTAGCAAATTACTTATTTTGTAACATATTCTAAATCATCACACAAACAACAATTCAAGTACATAATAAACATATTTTGTTTACTTCTTAAAAATTTATAATGCATTTTAGTATTTCATAGAGGTATCTTTCTTTCACCAAAATCATATTAAAATTTGTATATTATATTCCATTCTAAAACGGAACTTCACTCTATAAAATCACCAGACATTACTTGTTGTGAAAAAATGTTACTTATACTTTAACAGGAGTGATTAAGACAGGCCTATCACTTTTAAGACTTAACTACTTTTTTTATAATTCAAAAAACTGAAGAATTACTTGCTGATAAGCATAATAAAATAAAAAGCTAATTTAGTTAACTGTAAAAATTAAATACAGTATTTCTTCATAGAACCCATTTCTTAGTTAAAGACTCCCAAATACCACTTTCATTAAACTTCACACAGTAGGACAATCTTAACTTCGAATTACTTTCATTCCAACGCACAACATTGCACAAATACCAGAATTCAAGTACGTGATCGTGTAACCTTTCCAGAGGCACTCTCTCCCCTTTTCTCCTTACGAACGTGGATCACCCTGTATCATGGCTACAACTTTTTACTACTCCTAAAGAGGGCTTGGCATGACCTGGTAGTTAGGGCGCTAGACTCGCAATCTGTGGGTCGTGGGATCAAATCCGATCGCCAAACGGACTCGCCCCTTTTAGCCTTGTGAGGGTTATAAAGTAACGATCAATTCCACAGTTCATTGATAAAGGTTAGCCCACGAGTTAACGGTGAGTATTGTTGACTAGCTGCCTTCTTTCTAGCATCTCACTTGAAAATAAAAGCCGGCTAGTATAAATAGCCTTCGAGTAACTTTGCGCAAAATTCAACTTGTAAAAAAAAAAAAAAAAAAAACCCTCTAACACGAATTCAAACGTAGATAGTGCTAACAGTAACGTCGTTTATAATATTTTAAGTCAGTTTTACTATTAATAACAAATACAACACTTATCTTGACATTTTCCTCATAACACATTGTTCACTTCTTTCACCGACTTTAAACAGTTCACCTTTCCTTTTCTGTTAGCTGCAATCAACATGAATCACTGAAAGAGTACATACTTGAACAAACACCCGCTCTATGCCGGTAAGTTTGGTCATAAACGAGTACAAATATGGCTTTCTCTCACCAGCAAGTTTAACATCTCAATAGACACTTGTTATTTAACGCCACACGTTAAATATGGCTCCATACGTTCACAGGGAAGTACCACCAAATTACCAACACACTACATATGACAAACACAAATTACTATTTGACTTTATAAACTCCCTGTTTGTTCGTGCACTCCACACGAATTACCGATTGTTTGTTTTTGAATTTCGCGCAAAGCTACACGAGGGCTATCTGCGCTAGCCGTCCCTAATTTAGCAGTGTAAGACTAGAGGGAAGGCAGCTAGTCATCACCACCCACCGCCAACTCTTGGGCTACTCTTTTACCAACGAATAGTGGGATTGACCGTCACGCTATAAGGGCCCCACGGCTGAAAGGGCGAGCAAGTTTGGCGAGACGGGGATTCCAACCCGCGACCCTCAGATTGCGAATCGAGCGCCCTAACCACCTGGCCATGCCGGGCCGATTTACCGAACCGACTCTTTTAATTCACAACGTACAATGCATGAAAACCAACGAAGATATAAACTATCCAAAAAAACAACACACCTCCTCTGTTTTATCTATCCATAATCATGTGCTTTAACCACGATTATTTCACGTTGAAAGGAGTCATGTGAAACACCTTGTTCAAACACTGCCAACATGAAAGTTTCTTCTTTTTTTTGGATTGAGAAGGGTAGTTTCAAAAAACTGGTTAATAATCCATAATTACAAATAAGGATAATAACACGGACGCTACAAATCATTAAATAAACCAACTTATGCTTAAGAAAATAATATAGGAAAAAAAATGTATGTAGTTGTTGTGATTAGTAACCAACGTGTAACTAGTTACTATTTTTTAAGTTATTAGATTCGTGTAATTGGCTGCTAACGTTGAAGATGATTGGTGTACAGGGTCGCAACAATTTTACTTTTGAAATCTGAGCAATTTAATACCCTGCTTTCTCGATTTTGATGTAATTGTAAAATACTGATAATTATTCACGTATTTTTAAATTTTAAATATACAAAACTAACTAAACATGCTATTTTCTATTTCTTGGCCAGTAAACACGTGTAGCCACTGACATTGAAACTATTTTTTTAGTTATTTTAAAGCAGAAGTATTCAATGGAAAATACCTTAAATTTCACACTGTGTCATTTCAATAATAATGAAAAATTACAATTTACCTAAATTTCATAATGACAGTCCTGTTATATATTTCAGCTAGAGGAGTTTGTTCAAAAAGTCGGTCAATCTGGAAACACGAAAACAATAAAGTAGTAAATGTATAAAACATTAACTTGTACAAATTATGAAGCATTAATATAAAATTATTCACAAATTTACAACAATAACAAGTTCCGAGCATTTTTTTGTTTGCATTTTATAATATTTGATAAAAGCTGTTTCTTTCTTTTTTTCTAGAGTAACGTGCTAAGGAATAATATTAAATTCCACTAATTTAGTGAAACTTAAACATGTAACTATTGTTATATAAAAATATCTGTCACCTAGATGACTCAAAGTTTCTAAAGGTTGGAGTATACTATTAATCTTTACGTTTCAATTATTTTTATCATTTTATTTTATTCTCAGTAAATGTTTCATGCGGTTCACATTGGCGAGATTGGTAGTCAAGTTAAATTCTCCCATATTCCTTTTGTGCATAATAGTATATTGTTTTGTAAAATACTACTAAAAACTTACAGAGTACAAAATTTCTCTTTCCATCATTAAGTAGGGTAGGCTGAAATTATTTGTTAGTTGTGGTATGAACTCTCTGTTGGTCACTTTAAACTCTCCATCTACTGTCCTAAGAACTGTAAAATATAAGTAAACAAAATTTTAATTTTTCGAGTAATAAAACTATTAAAATCAATAAAATATGTCCAGTTACAATCTTGAAAAATATCTGTAATATTAAAGCAATGAAAACTACGTATCACTGCGTAAGATTCAAGAACAAAAAAACAACAACAATATAATTACTTAATTTAACTTTCTTATATAGTTTCTTACCACTATTGAAACAGAATACCAAAGATAGTTACTCCCATTTTAATTTCTCATATCTTATAACAAGTTGCAAGAGATGGTTCTTCCCATTTCAGGGTCGAACATTCACTATAATGACAAGCTGTTAGACGGTTCTTCCCATTTCAGGGTCGAACATTCACTATAATGACTAGCTGTTAGACGGTTCTTCCCATTTCAGGCTCGAACATTCACTATAATGACTAGCTGTTAGACGGTTGTTCCGATTTCAGGCTCGAACATTCACTATAATGACTAGCTGTTAGACGGTTCTTCCCATTTCAGGCTCGAATATTCACTATAATGACT